GGGAGTGGGGGCCGGTGGGTTAGAGCAAGGGGAGCTGGCAGCCAGGACTCCTGGGTTCTCTCCCCGGCTCTGGGAGGGGAGTGGGGGCTGGTGGTTAGAGCAGGGGGGGCTGGGAGCCAGGACTCCTGGGTTCTCTCCCCGGCTCTGGGAGGGGAGCGGGGGCTGGTGGTTAGAGCAGGGGGGGGCTGGGAGCCAGGACTCCTGGGTTCTCTCCCCGGTTCTGGGAGGGGAGTGGGGGCTCGGTGGGTCAGAGCAGGGGGGACTGGGGGCCAGGACCTGGGTTCTCTCCCCGGCTCTGGGAGGGGAGAGGGGGCTGGTGGTTAGAGCAGGGGGGGCTGGGAGCCAGGACTCCTGGGTTCTCTCCCCAGCTCTGGGAGGGGAGTGGGGGCTGGTGGGTCAGAGCAGGGGGGTGGGAGCCAGGACGCCTGGGTTCCTGCCCGGCTCGGGAAGGGGAGTGGGGGCTGGTGGGTTAGCGCAGGGGGATTGAGGGCCCCCCTGTGACTGTGCCCCCTCAGGAGGAGGACTCCGCCTTCGCCTCCCAGCGGCAGGTGTACAAGGACATTGGGGAGGAGATGCTGCTTCACGCCTTCGAGGGCTACAACGTCTGTATCTTCGCCTACGGCCAGACCGGCGCTGGCAAGTCCTACACCATGATGGGCCGGCAGGAGCCGGGGCAGCAGGGCATCATCCCGCAGGTGGGCGCCGGGGGGGACGGGCTGGGGGGGGGGCCGGCTGGGGGGGGTCACCGTGCCCGTGTTTCCATGCTGGTGTCCTTGTGTCTCACTCCAGCTCTGTGAGGATTTGTTCGCCCGGGTCACCGAGAGCTGCTCCCCCAACCTGTCCTACTCCGTGGAGGTGAGTCGCCTGCCCTGACCCCCCCCTCGCACCCCCAACTCTGCCCCTCCCTGCCCCCTGACCTTCCCAGCGTGACCCTGACCCCCCCTTGAACCCCTCCCAGAGCTCCCCCAATTCTGCCCCCCCGACCCCTCCCTGCCCCCCGACCTCCCTAGCGTGACCCTGACCCCCCCCAGGGCTCCCCAACCCGCCCAGCGTTCCCCCAACTCTGATCCCCGGCCCCTCCCTGCCCCTCGACGTCGGCAGCGTGACGCTGACCCCCGCTCGCACTCCCCCAGCAGTCCCCCAACTCTGCCCCCTGGCCCCTCCCTGCCCCTCGACGTCCGCAGCGTGACCCTGACCCCCCCTGCACCCCCCAGAGCTCCCTCAACTCTGATCCCCAGCCCCTCCCTGCCCCCCGACCTTCCCAGCACAACTCTGCCCCAACTCCTCCCCTCAGACCCCCCCAACTCTCCCCAGTCTCTCCTCCAACTCTGACCGTGACCTCCAGCCCCTCCCTCCCTCCCTGACCCCTCACTACTTCCCTGGCCCCACAGTGCTCCCCCACCCCCGGCCGGCTTTGCCCTCATGGCCGCCCCCCACCCAGGTGAGCTACATGGAGATCTATTGCGAGCGGGTGCGGGACCTGCTGAACCCCAAGAGCCGGGGGCACCTGCGGGTGCGGGAGCACCCCATCATGGGCCCCTACGTGGAGGACCTGTCCAAGCTGGCGGTCACCTCCTTCGCGGACATCGCCGACCTCATGGACTGCGGGAACAAGGCCAGGTGAGAGCCCCCTGCCCCCGGCCTGGGAGAAGCCAGGAGTCCTGGCTCATCAGGAGAGTAGGCTGGGGGGTCAGAG